TTACTCGCCTTATCGGCAAAACCTTGCGCTTTTGAGGGTACCGCGGAAGATTGTTTCGGTGGAACGGGTTTATAGGCTTGTCCAGTTGCACGATAGAGTGCCTGAAATTAAAACGGTTGCACGTCCGTTTCAAGATGAAGAATCAAAATCTTGCTTGGATATGATTAGTATAAGGACAACAACATACCTGTACCCAAAGATGTCGTTCATTTTCATCATCGGTCGCAAACTTCAATTCATCACCTTCTTTTATTGCTGTGAAGAAATGTTTTCCACCTTGATTGTAAAGCTCTAAAGCATAAAATCTTCAAAAAAATATCGCAAATGCTCGAAAACATTCCTAGTCGCATTTCGTTTAGTCGTCAGTAAGATTAGATATGTGTTAAGAGAAGTATGGAGGGAATTGACTTGATGTGAACAGCGATCGTAACAAGATCAAATGGCATACCAGGATCTGGTTCGGGCATATAATCAATAGTGAATCCATCCAGTTGGATGAACTCGGTAGGATCTGCTTTCTTTTCGCGATAACTGCACACTGCGAACGCGTACTGAGAAACCTGGAAATTGGGCATTTGTTTTTGGAAAACAAACGTCATTTTTTGGGAGGGGTATTCCTTGATCATGGCTTTTGGTTGATGCTAAACAAATACTTGTATGTGGTTTTGACATTCACCGATTGATCACACAGCCATGTGATGATGTTCGAGAGGATTTGCACAAAACCGACCTGTACAAGACAAAAGAACCTCCTTTTCCACTTCTTCCATGCTATCCTCCCCATCGCATAACAATACCCGCAATATTTGAGATTTGGTGGTTTTTCAACACGAATCGCTATCCTTATCTTTAACGTCTGATCTGCACTATTCTTCGGAACGGTCATTTTGTACCATTCCGGTGTCCTCGAACAATTCGGTGTTGGCCTGATTACAACCTGAAAGTCAATCCAACAAACAGTTGCATAATGTTGACGAAATAACACAAGTTCGATTCTTTCATAGCCGTACTATTCAAAAACACGAGATACGTTAACGAGAACTTGATTCCACAAAGGAAATCCCTATCAAATAGCAGGAATTTGCTGGCCATGCATATTTCCAGTTGATTTCACCAACATGTTTGGAGTGTAATGAATAATTG